CTTCTTCTTTGGCACCTGGGGTATCTGGTGACAAGGAAACAAATGTCACTTCTTGCAATAGTTTTATCAAAACCTTTATCCTTTCAAAGAAGGAAATGGAAGCAAAACGGACAAACAAACAGAACACGTTTGTCAATTAAACTGTTTTCATTCCCTGATTACAGGTATTTCATGAGCCTCTTCTACCCTGCTTAAGAGATCTAGTTGATTATTTAATCCATAAACACTAACTCATGTACTATAATATATAGTCCATGAAAGATGCTGCACACATCATGGGCATTCAAATACTTTAGTTATGGGTTAATTTCCCATCAATGCATTGATGTATGTTCACATTTTCTGTGAAGTCTTTTACCCATGTACATAGAAATTTCTGGCAGGTTAATATCCCCTAATAATAGTTTCTATAGTCAGAAAGAATATACGATACATTGCTAATCAGTTCCATCTTTTGTTTAGTGGCACAAATTTGAAATATATGAACTATCATATACTCATGAAATTTTGCCGGCGATCCAGAATACTGTTAGTTGTATTTGAAAAAATTCCATAGCAGATCATTACATGTAATGTGTTTCTGGAACTGTAAGATGCGTGCATAATTTTCCACGAAAAAAGTCTTTTGCTTTGGAAAATACATTATGCACTGGATTTAACCGCTACGTAATATTTTTGTTTTAACTTGCTTATTTTAATTACACGTTTCAAATTATTACTGCGACATGCCGTGTTTTTATTGTCGTAAAGATGGCAGACTCCTCACAGAAATGTAGAGGCTAACAGGTCAACTGTCCAATCAAAATCATATACAAGTAAATATTAAGCGGTGGTGCAGTGTTACAAACAGAGAAAATAAACTTTTGGAAATCTGAGATCAGCCTGTCCCAGCGTCGCTTTGCCCACCAGTCCTACATTAGCTGCCTCGGGTGTAACCATGAGTCGCCAGAGTAAGAAGATGGTGGTACCTAATTTATGGCATGAACCAAAATGCTACACAAATCTGACAAACATACACAGATCAACACAGCTTTGCATTATATAATAATGTCAGTTCTAGGTGCGCAAACATCACTCACACCACTACAACCGTCATATTCGTAATACCTGCCATTCACGCACATAAACCTCCATGAGTATGGCAGTGGGAAAATTTCATCTTTCTGCACGCACCACATCAAATACAAGTTAAGGCCTAAAACACACACAAAATCTCAAGGCCGTAGAGTTATCAGCTTCCAACGCCTTTTCCAATGGCAGAACCACAAGAAATAAACCTGTTCTTATATACCACATACTAAACTCAAAGACAAGTCGTAATTGCTCTGACCTTGAAAGTAGGGTCATGCTTCTGTGATGGAGTGACTTCTGGCTGAAGGGGAAGAGCCACGCCCGACTGGTCCCCATTGGTTTTTACATCGACCTTCTCAACCGGACGTGGCCGATTCCGCCAGACCAGCGTGAATGGTGGTCGTATGGCTTTTTTTGCTATGTCTGTCCAATTTATGTCCTGTCAGATAAAGCACAAAAATTAATGGTTTGGCCCAGTAAGTCTGACAAGGCAGAAGCAAGAACAACTCAGTTTAAACGACGCTTCAATTGTGGAAGAAATACAAGGATTTTGAAATTATGTATCGTGCATGGTCTGTTCTTTACGTTATGCAAAAATGCTGCATTTACTGGGAGGGAAGTTTAAGGAGAATTGATCCTACCACAAGTTTTTA